CTGTTACGTGGCCCCGTTCCGCGTCTCTGGCGAAGTCTGCCTCACTTCCGGCGAAGTTTCAAGACGTTCTGTCGGCGGGTGTCTAAACGCGGGGGAACTTGCCGGGAAATCTACGGTATATTGTGTACGTCGCATTATATTGGACACCACCCCTGCTGCGCGCTCCTAGTCGCTCATGATCAGACTTCCACGGGACTTGCATAGACTGCATGAGAGCATCACTCTTTTCATAGTCGACGAAGTGGTTCCAATCAGCAGTCTCAGTCCTATAATACTATAATCGCTAAATCTGTTTCTGCATACGTATTTCACTTTATTTATTTATTTATTTATGTTATATTTTATTGACGTTTATAGTCTTACAGTGACAACATATAAATATATGTTGTCGCTTTTTCTTAAAGATGAAGACATAAAGCATGTCTCTGATTCTCGAACGCTCACGAACGAAAGTGATTATTTACCGAAGTTAGTGGTCGTTAGTGAATCTATCCTAGCGTATTCAGGCACATTTACATCGCAAGCCGGCGCTCAGCGGAGATATTTTTGGGCCGCCCTATGCGCGCTGGATGATTCACGCCACGGGAGAGAGGACGCTCAAACGTCCAAAGAGATTCTGCGGGGGGACTTAAAGATGGATGGAGCGTACCGCGTGAATACACCTCAAAGCGCGCGTCCACGAAATGTAGTATACAAAGTATCTTAAACGATGTTTATCCCGCGGTACCGTTATCGGTTCTACGGACCGTCGATGACGAGGGGAATCATTCTTTCCTGTCGCTGTTATGGGCATCTATTAAGCCCGGTGTCCACGATGCAAGAACTGTGTCCAAGTTTCGGTTTAAGCCAATGAAACTGCTACTTTTCTGTAAGAGCTGCAAGTTTATCGGCTTAAATCGAAACTTGGACACAGTTCTTGCATCGTGGACACCGGGCTTTAGCATACGGGCAATAGGCAAACTTTTTCGCATACCTACTCCAAAGTGCCTTTCGGCCTGCTGATGGTTTCGGGACAATCCCTCTCTGACGAATAACTCGAACTTTCGACGTGTATCATCGCCGCTGAATAAAAGCTACGTGGGGAAACATATTATGGAAAACATATGGCCGTAATAATCCCGCCGTTCATACGAAATAAAAATCTGAATATCGATCGGCACTTTTTGTCGAGAGAATAATTCATCATAACGGGATTATTGCGTCAATATATACGACACTTTGTGTATTATTATAATGAAAGAGTCGTTATACCTACACACGTGATGCTATTGCAAATAATTAGTGATATATCAAAGTACATCAAATGTACTTTACGCTGACCTTTTCTTTAATATTGTAGCAAAGTAAAATGTCAATAATTTTAACATTGTTAAATATATTTTTTGAATTTAAAGTTAGATTCGTTCTATAATCGAAATGTTCGGAAAGTGTCGCAAGATTGTTTTATGCCTTCCAGAAAATATTTCACGTTTTCGCAAGTCGCGCAAAGACATTTACAAGATTTTCCTTGTTAACTGATGTAATTTGCTTTACTACTGAAAAAAGATATTTGCTCGCCATTAGCGTAGCGTCTGCCGTGCATTAGCGACGCTATTATTATCGTGTTTGCCTTGCAGATACGCGCGCGGTAACAGCGCGTCTCTTTGTTCCTCGTGAATATGTTGCACAGGCAAGTTGCGAGCTCGTAACTGAGCAAAATGTGCGTATCTATTCCGACCCAGTTTACTTATGACTGGTTTCAATGCGCTTATGCTCGATTCCCGATTTAGTTAAACGTGACATTTTTTCGCAAAGGTATTACGCCGATTACGCGCGGGGGGCACTGAAGTATTATCCTTTTGCATTAGAATTATTTGATTCGTCATTAATTATTCAATATATCTCGAATGTGTCTTTTGGCAGACTTTTTTTGTGTAAGAGAAAGATCTCGAAAAAAATGCTATTATTATTTTATCTTTGTCGTATAAAGTCCATAAGTATGATATCAACTGAGAAATCCGTCTATTTTCGTCCAAGCGAGATTTATCTTTATACTTGCGCGCCGTAGAGTATAAAAAATGTACCTATATACGGTATATCGTGTATCTAGAGACGATAACGCCTTAAAAAAACATGACCGCGCACGGTTGCGTGCGCCTACACTTAAATCTGGAATTCAGGAACAAAGGGATAAAGAGGGATAGGAGGGGGAAGAAAAATACCGAGGTCGGAGAAAAGAAGAGCAGCCGGGGGAGGAGAAAAAAAATCGAACTTAATCGACCGGAGCCACGAAGGAAAAAGCAACGGCGGCGCGCCGGCAACAGTTTTACGATTTTGGGCGCGAGGCTGAAGGAATGGCGGAAACGACGGGGGTGTATATACGGCCGAGAGGACGAAGCGATGCGAATTCCATTCCATTAGTCGGCCGTTAACGATCGAACGTGTTCGCTCGTCCGTGTGCACGCAGGATATATCCACGGAGAGAGGTCTTTCGTGGAGGTCCTGCGGAATGCAGAGAGAAACCTGCTACCATCCTCTGTTCGCTCTGACCCAAACCCACCCCTCGTCGGGCCTCGTTTTTCCATCCCCGCGATCTCTCTCCGGGACGGCGTAAAGGATTTTCGATTACGTTTTGTCGCCGCTTTTGTTCCGCTTCGTTCTGTTTCGAGCCCACTTCACGTGGCCCTTTCGTATCACGCAAAAAAAAATATATATATATATCCCATGCCTCTCCTCCGATTCTTTATTTAACCGGCATTCGATCCTTTTCCCGAGGCCAACCTATACAATTTTTTCCGATTTCTCGAATTGCGTTCCTCCTTACCTGTAAAATTACATTCTTGCGAAATTGACTTCGAGTTGGACAGCAATGTAGTTATTAAACTTATCGCTGAAGTAAACGTTGATGTACTTCGCGAACGCAATTAAAATAGGTAAATATAAATACGTGGTTTATTTATTAAACGGAGAAAGGCGATTGGATATACGAAACTTTGAGAAACCTAAGTTTTCAAAGGAAAAGTAATCTATCGATTACATAAGAACCACTCCGATAACTTAAGAACCCAATTATAGAAATATAATTATTTGTGATTAATTGTTGTCGATGAAATCTTTTATTGTTCAATTCGTTCGTATAATCGTTATTATTAGCTTCACTTTCGAATGAGATATTTCACGAAGTAATTTCGAGTCGCGGAGCATTACTGTCGGCGTAGGAAAACGATTCGGCGGAAGAACAAAACGCGACCGAGGTCGGGAACCGCAGCTCTCCGGATTCTCCTCATATCATGCCCGCCGACCGCGGTTTCTCGACTCCGCTGGAGCCTGGAAATTGAATTTCGGCGGCGCGCGCGCGCGGCTTTCTAATTCGAATTTGAGGTTTCTCGCGGAACGCTCGTACATTCGGCGAAACGGCCGGATCGGGTCTAACGGCGGGATTTATTCGACTTCACGACGGAAGAAAGGGATGGCTGGTGCCAGCCGAGGTGGGTGGGTGGCTGAGTCGGGCAGCGACGAGACGAGGCGAGGCGAGAATGAAGGGGTCGCGACCACAGACACCAACCGAAAGCGCGAAACTATAGAGACTAACTGGTAGCAAGAGGGGATGCGAGGGATTTATGGACCGACGAAGACTTACGACACCTGTTCGTGTGTCTACAGGGTGTCGCCCAACCAGAAGCGACTCAGACGATCAGATACCCCGATCAGCTGGCGATCGGTGTAACATTGAATAAAAATTATCGTTTAATACTCGATTGTGTTACGGTCTCGATGTGAAGTCTTAGATAACAGATATTCCAAATTAGTCGAAGGATTTATTCAAATGTAAATCGAATGATTGTTCCCGGGACACCTCGTGTATACACATCGCGCAGCCACCTCGAGGGGCACCCGTGCATGAGCGACGACATTTCAAATTCGCGTCAGGCGCGGCATCACAGACGACTGCAAACGCCAGCGGTGTCATGCGATAATTCCCAACTTCTCCAATTATCGTTTCATTCCCCGTCGCGGTCGCCTTCGTGCTGCCGGGGAAAGGAGGTCGAAAGAGAATAAACCCGGGGAATAAGACTCGGGCTGACGTTGCCCGAATCGGACGCACGATCGGCCCGCAAACCGCCGCCGCGCCGGGAGAGAAATAAGTATTCGCCGTGATCGGAATCGCGCAAGACCTGGAGGGATTTGATCGAATTAAAGTTTCGGCGGTGACGCGCTGTTCACCGGGCGACCGTTGAGACCGCGAGAGACCGCTCTGTTCACCGGGGACGCGAACAGTCGGCGTGAGAAAGAGAGAAAGCGTCGAGAAATCTCATTAAGGTGACGCCGCTCCTCCTGCGGAGAGATGATCGCGTTGCTCGCGGATCGCGCGCGCAGATTCGAAATAATCAGAAAAATCTCGCTCTTTTATCGCGTTCCCCATCGACCGAGATTCGGATTGCACCGGGGAACGATTTAATTTAATTTTCATGACGCCGCGTTCGATTAAAATTGCATTTGATACGTATGTAAAGAGCGAAGTATTTTCGACGTGCCGTTTTACATTTCAATTTTCACTCGAAATTCGAGCCGGATTTGAATGCGTCGCAAATGAGACATCGCAGCTTTTGAATTGGACGATAACTATTCTGTAAAAAAGCAGCCCACGTGAAATCGCTCGATTCCTTTCATACGCCAGTTACGCGAATTACTTCAAGCTTTTACTCATCACTGCAACCAAGACTGCAGCATTAATCCTAGAATAATAATCGTGTATTCTACGATGTTTTATTCATCGCTGTTTACTATGCTCTACCGCTGCTCGTGTATACCATGCAAATTTTTGAAGGCAAATAAAACAACATATCACTCAGTGACAATATATATGCTTCAAAAATATAATCGAGAGATAAAACGGATATATAAAAATCACACGAAAATCATCGTGTCGGACAGGGTGCTATGGTGAATAACGCACTAAAAATTGTCGTATCTGTTTCCCGCGAAACAACGCGAACTGACGCTGCACACGAACTACTCACCGATCAGCTTGCCGAACTGCGCCGGAGGCTTCCACTCCGGATAGTGTCGCGGGAATCGCGCCCTCGACCAGTAGGTCCTCAGGGTGACCTTGTAGAGCGCCAGCTTGTCCTGCTTCTCCTGCTTCTCCTGCCGGTCCTGGGCGTACGATCCGCATTGGCCGTGCACGGAGAGGAATCTCGTGGCGAGCAGGAGCAGCAAGAGCACCGACCACCGGTGCCACGTGCCACGGGACATCTGCGGGGGAAAAGAGAGAGAAAAAAAGAAATGAAGGAGATAAAAATCGTCGTCGAGCGCCTATTAACTACGACTGATGCGCGCCAAAATATGCGACACGTGTTAACACGTGTCCGTGTACGCGCTGCATACTTGGGATGCTTCGAAACGCATGCGATGAGGAATTCGACGCGCGAGTGCGCGCGCGTGTGCGGGTCCGTTATTCTCGACAGTTTTCCGAGCGTGTTTCCAACAAAATATTAAAAGAAACGTGAAACTTCTCTAAAGTGCTCGGTACAAGGAAACGTCAAGGAAAGATAAAGTTGCAGAACGACCTACAAGTGCAGCTACTCCGGAGTAGTAATTTCTACGGTTACTACTACACGATACCGGGGAAAATATAAAGCTTATCTCTTATCGGGGAATGGACTGAAATAGAATAAAGTGAGGTAACAATTCATCATGTTCTGAGGGCCAAGTAATCATCTGATATTTCCGTCGGTGGGAAAATGTCTCGTTTTTACGTCAGGACTCTATAGGCACCAAGGTCATTACACGCATCTTGCATAATCACGCGTTATCGCATAATCGTAGCATTCAAATGCAGCGAACAATAAGAGTAAAATATAAGACTTTACTTAGCTTCATTCACTAGAGTAAGAAGAGGCTATTTCAGTTAAAGAAAAAAATCAAATAAAAAATTTTCAAGACAAAAAACCCCAAAAAATCAAAAATCCTCTCCTTACCCTGAAAACTGAAAAACTCTCTGTCTTGCAAACCTTTTATTCGGTTTTTTTTAACTGACTGAAATAGCTCCTCCTTACCCTATAGATATTTTTCGAGAAAAACATTTGAATTGCTGCTATTTAAGTTTTCTTAAATTTTAATTTCATATTTTACAGTTTCCACAAAATCGACTCTAACTTCATCGGAGGACCCGTCATTAGGGCCGAAAACAAACTTCCGAAAGTCAAGTCATTGTGATAATGAATGCATGTCGCTCTGAAGCGTGCGATGAATGAGGCATATATGATAATTCAGGACGACAGCCCAGAAACGGGTGCTTGCGAATTGTATTGTTAAGCAAGCTCTCCGCGGTGGTAACCCGGTTTCGGAGCGGTAAACAAGATTGATCCGCAGGCGTGTCGCCGAAAGAGAGGAGACGCGCCGCGCGCGCGTAACTGCTGAATAATTCAGGTGGCGCCGAGAGCCCAGCATGGGGGGGCTGATTCCGGGATTCTTTTACATGGACGCAATCAAAAGGATAACGCGGTATTATCGCGCGGGCGGATAAAACGCCGCGTGAAAGGTGACGCTCGGTGAACGCCCGCGCCCTTGCGTCCCTTCCGTCTATCGCGCGTATAGGAGCGCGTGCCGATTTCTCTTCTAAGTGAATCCATTATACTTGATGGCGAAAAGAGAGAAGTAGAACGTTCTTCAATTATCATCTTACCCCACGGAAACGATCGAGAAAACTGCTTGGCGTAAAAGCCGCCATCGCCATCACTTGCTCCCGCATACGTATGTTCCCCGTGAGTCGCATAAATCTCGTGGCGCTTTAAAACTCCGTAACCTATCGACCGAAGATCGGGAATCGGTCGGTTGTGTCCCTCTTTCCAGATGATTGTGCGAAATTGCACGGGTACGCAATCATATCCCGCGAGCAAGTGAATGTGACATCTTCACGTGTTTACGTATGCAGATCCGCGCACGTTCAAAATTCAAATCATATCCGAATCGCTTCCGATCGGTCGACGTCACTCGTGTCGCGAGTCGTCCAAATCTCGAGTCGGGTTTTTTGGGCTGACCACTCGGCTCCAAGAAAAATCTCGTCGCTAGAACCGTTCGAGTGCGATATCGAGTGCGAATTGACGGCCATCAATTCGCTACTCGATAAAAAATATTTTATAAAATATTTCTACTTATCAAATCGAATTTGCAAAGTGGCTCATATTATTCTACACATATACATAGGGTAGTATACCCTGTATACATGATATTTATAAAAATATTTGATTATATTTACGTGCAAGATATTTACATAGGATAGTATACCCTGTATACATGATATTTGTAAAAATATTTGATTATATTTTCGTGCAAGATATTTGATATTAAGCAATTACAGGGATTCATACAAGGATAAAAAGTATTAAAGTGAAATAGTGATTATTTTTGTTCTTGATAATAAAATTGTATGACAAAATTCTAAAACAAATATTTGATATATTTATCGTTAAATTTCTTGATTACTATTCATATATTGAACACGATAACTAAATCATTCTGACTATAAGTCATGACAGATGAGATTTGCATAAGTGTCTCTATGTCTAAATATTGAGAATCTTACGCTCGGAAGTATTGCTCGAAAATATTGCTTATTTACGGTGTTAACGCTTGGGAAAGCTTCTCTCTGTAAACAGAAGATTTCCGTTTTTAAGACGAGCATTCTGTATCCCGCCGCTGGTCTTTCTGACGAAGGACTAAAAAGTAAACGAACACTTAATGAAAAGCACACGGAAAATATTTATATCCCCCGCGCGAAACTCTTTGCGAACTTCGAATCCATCGCCGAGCATTTCCCTCCGCGCCGGTACAGCGAGATAACTACAAAACTTTCGATGTTCAGCATTATTCAGTGTATCTTCCCGATTCGGTATTGATCACAATGCGCTGCGCGATTGTGAGAAACTGGGATCCGAGAAAGACACGATTCAATGCCATGCATTATCCACCGTCTTGCTGTGATATAAATAGTTTCTACCAGAAACTTTTATATATTTGATGCAAAATGCAAAAACATGTGATTTTATTCTCAAGTACGTTTAACTTTTTTATTGATTGTAAGAAATATTCCATCTTCTAAGTTTTAATAATAGAATCTCGTTTTATTATATGAAATAATTTATTTTCTATGTAAAATTGTTAAATTACGGGAAAGAAGCTTGTCACGTTAATTTTTTTTTTAACGAAAAATAGGTATCTTGAAATTTTCTTTCGTCTCTCGCAAAGAATAATACGTCTGTCCAGTTTCATTTTATTCTCTAAGACGCATCACGCAGAAATGTAGTCTCTGAGATTTTCCCTCCATTATTTTTGCACCGTGAAAATGTGTGAAATTGTGCGGGCAAACGTCACTGGAGACTGTCCTCAATTTGCGGCTCGCGTCAGCCACGCGTTGCGTAAAAATCTGTAATTATAGTTCGCTCCGAGAGAGTCGGGCTCGACGACGACGAAGCGCACTTCGGGGAACGCGGAGCTGGAGAGTAGTTTCGCCGGAGAGAAGGTTCTTGCGAGACCGAGAGTATACGGGGCCGTGGCAAACACATTATTTAACCGCGGAGCGCGCGAGACCCCGCGAGCCAACCCCTCGCGCGAGCATGCAGCAGCGGGTAAACTGAAAATTCCTTTTTGCTTTACAATTCATTATGTTTCATTACCGGCGCCGGCGGAGTAACTCATACCGGGCGCGAGTTATGTTTCCCCGTTTGCAACACCCCGGGCTCCGCGCGTCCTCGCGCGGTCGTTGTATCGCGGGATCTACCGTCGTTCGTTCGTTTTTCAGCCCCGGTGACCCTATTCCGTCGTCATCGTCGCCGTCCCCGGGAAGTAGAAGCGACGGCGACCGAGGAGGGGAGACGCGACAGCGGTGTACAAACGATCGCGGATGACAAAGAGTTTCAGGGCTTGGGGCCCGTCGCCTAGTTTTCCTAGGTCGGGCGGGTTGATTAATTTAATGGTCGCGGGGGCTGATTTCTCTCCCTCTTTCTCTCTCTCTTTCTCTTCCTCGCGCGCGCGCGCGCGCGCTCACGTTCCTTTATATCTCTCGTCGGTCTGTTAGCGCGAATCTCCGCCTCCGTGTCTTCGAACTTCGCCTTTCCGCGCGCACTTTCCGGTAAGCAACAAGTTGTCGCAAATCTGATTACTTGCTGGCACGTAAATAATGAAAAGCCCGGGAATCTTGTCCGAAAAGGAAAGCTTTGCATGAATTTGCAAGAGCGGCGCGTAATGCTTTTTTGCCGCCGATCGTTCCCGAGGAATATATCGCAGCGAGAGAGATTATCTTTCGCAACGTAAGGCTCTCTTCGAGAGCAAATTGAAAAGTGACATTTATTAATCGTTTATTTTAACGCAACCGCAGTATTTTCGTTATTTCCGTACATATTGGTTCTTGTCACGCTTCTCAAATTAACTTCTTTGTAGTTGAAATGAAACTTGTTAGGCGTATTATTTATTGGATATTTCATATATAATTCTACGGAAACTAAGTTCGCATGTACGACACATCTCGGTTAATTAGCTTTGGAGAATTAATAGCCGAGCGCTGAGGAATCTGAGACGGAGCCACGTTAGTATGTGTAGTGTGGAGAGCCGGAGCTTGGATTTAGGGTTCCAAACCGTGGTTAATGGAATCTCCCCTCGCCAAAATCTGAGCTGCGCATCGTGCGAATACGTAATAGTTACTGCGTAATAATAACCTTAACTCACGGGGTGTAACCGGAGTTACACAATGCCGGAGCTCGCATCGGACGCGGCAGGTATCAAATGTCATTGCCAGTTAATGAACCAGCCAATAAAAATTGATATATACGACAATAGGTATATTGAAATATCCTCAATATATCTTTTAAACAGTTCGAAAAAGGATTAAGCCGCTAAAGGATATCAAGATATAAATAGAATGTAAACAGGGTAAAAATTTATATGTGGTGATTCCAAACTTTTACTTACAATTACTGTCGTAGACCGTTAATTAATGTGTAATGTTCATATGTATTAATGTTAAAAAAGAGACTGTGATTGACATTTTTATCATTGGTATATAAGGTACTGAAGAAAATCACGCAATAGCGCGAAGCGCGCGACATTCTATCAGCTCGACGAATGGGGGAAAAAGTAGAAACTGCACGCACACCTCAGACACGGAAGCAGCGCAGTGGCGATCGCTAGCGATGCACCGGCGCGCGAAATTCTTTTTCCGTGAAAGGAGCGCCTTCGACCTCCCTGTTTACCAGCTCGACGTTGAGTGAACAATCGGTCAAAGGACTCGGAGCTTATTCGCGTAAAGGGTAGAAAAAGCACAAGTATTCCCGAAAACAAATTAGCCTTCAGCTAAATCACTTCCGTCCGTCGATGCATCCAAAAACTCAAAGGCATCTTGCGAAAGTGCCTCCCTTAACAAAATTCCGGCTCGGAGAGTGATCGATATACCAGGGAACGTGCTTTTCGTGCTTTAGACTCGAGAGACGCGGGATTCTGTTCCATAATAAACACGGTGTGCGAAAAGTTAGGATCAATCTCGCGAAAGCCGCACTTGTACTTTCAGTGATCACCGATCAAGTTCCAAAAATCACAATTAGCAGGGGGATTGCACTCTGATATACGAGTACCAGGCGATATTTTTGGAAACGTCTTACAAGAACCGTGCGCATCAAGCCATTCACAAGTCGAGAAATCTGCGCATTCGAGGTTTTGCAACGCGTATATATTAACTCTTCTCAGCCGTTTTACCTTTCCGACACCTTCGACGTCTCGCTCCCACCCTCCGTCTGCAACCCCTTTCTCTGCGGATTCCGGGCTGGCGCGGGGAGACGGTAAAGTGGGCAGAAATACTCGTGAAAACACCTCGCACACGTATATGTATCACACAGACATCGCAGGATCAAGATTTCGTCCTGGCGAATCGCGAAACGCGCGGGGGGGGGGGGGGGGAGAGGAATATCGAGCGACACAGGTGCCACGAAGTTACTTCCTTTCAATTTCTCCCCTTTTTCCCGGCCGATCGCGCTCGGGACTCGTGGAATCGGCCTCTCGGCCGAGGAGGCGCCGCGACGGCGACGGCGACGCGCACGAATTTGGTCACGAAGAGCGGGAGAGGTTCTCACGTTTCACGACGGCGCGCGGCGGGCCTCCTCGTCCACCGCGAATATCCCCCTTTTCGCCGGGCACGGGACCGATGCGCGACGTCGACGAGATGCGCAACCGACGGATACTCCTGACTCGAAGGTCGCCGCGATACTGCGAGCGACGAGCGCGGCCCGTACGCGGGCGCTCGCGGAGGAGCCGAGCGCCGAGCCTCGCGCGCATCCGCACGGATACGCGCCGCCTCACCCCGTTGTATGTCGGTCGGTGCTTCAAACTCGCGCGATCCCGATTCCACCGCGGGGACGCATTAATTTCGCGCTCATTTTCCCTGAGAAGCGCCGTTTATCGTTGGACCGAGGATCAGTCGAATCATCGACAACGAAAAAAGGGAGGGTTATCCTACACAAAGTTTTAATGCTACATAGATGTAAAAAGAATAGGCTTGCTGACATTATGTAACTAACAAGGGAACGTTTGGAACTGTCCCGATTTTGATATGTTTTGAATGAATTGTAGAGTAGCGAAAAATGACACACTATTTTTTTATCGGCTTCGAAGCAATTTTTAATTGTATTTTTGCGAAAATACCATTGAAGGGTGGGGGTATGTAAAAAAATATGATTTTAAAAAAAATCTAAATACACGGTTACAGAGATTGCTTAATACCGTAATCTTCTTGTCTATAATAAAACATTTTTTCATATACCTCACGGTTTCAGAGATATTCACTCGTAATCCAATTTGGAATTTCTCTCGAGGGGTTGTTTCAATCTCTAAATATGCTTCGATTTTTCGCTATTCTGCAATATATCCAGAGCCTATCAAAATTGGTGAAGGACAGTTCCCTTGTTTGATATAGACACAAATGGAAGGGTACAGGGGAAAAACGATCAATGTCTATCCGAAGTAATTTCGAGAAAAACGCAATTTTAAGTTTCAAGACATCCAGATATCTTAGGAAGCTATTGAAAAAGGTACTAGCAGTGAATATCGGAATGCATAGTGTTTACTTAGTGTTTACATTTTATGTTAGACTCTAATGGTTCTTTCCCATAAATACGTGAACCATGATCGTTTTTCTTCAGCACGGTACATCTTTCGGCCTTATTTCCAATGAATTGCAACAGTTCTTGAATCAAAACAGATAAGAATTATGAAAGTTCTTTGAAAATACCACAATATAGCATGATCAGATCAATTTCGACAAAAAAGGACTTTGATCGCTGTTTTCCTTCAAATATATCTTGCCGAAGATCGATTACTCCGATTACTCCGATCATCGGATGAAGCAATCAATCGATAAATAACCGGAGTGTGAATAAATGGATTATAAATAAATCATAATTCCGTTACGGGTAAAATAATATACATTTACGAATAAAGTAATTAACGTGGGGAAGAAAAGAGGATTTCATAAATCGCGCAGATCGCAAATTGTATATAGACGTGTCGTGGTCGACTGCGCAAACGTATTACAAATTCGATTAGTTTATTGCGCATTGTTAATCTCGTTATTAAACGTTCGTTTCTGTAATATAAGCTTTTGTTTTATTCCGCGAGTGTGGATAACCGCGATAGCAAAAAACGACGGTCGACCTCGGACGTAACATTTGATATTTAAGTGCGTCGCCACGAATGAATATGTAACACAATTAATCCTTCGGCTATATTGCGTATCGGAATGTCTGTTTTTATCTTTGCACGGTTCTTTTTCTTCTTGCTTACGTAAAAGCGAAGTCGTGAAAAAAAGGCACGAAATACTTTTCAGCAATGCAACGCCATTTTCCGTACTTATCCCCGAGTCTCGGAGAGTTTTACACACAAATAACCCTCCATATTGTCGGACGAAATATCTGCGAATAAAGTTTGCCGAAGGAGAGCGAAGGAAGTTTCAATGGAGAAAAAAAAGTGATTGATTTGCGTACTCGCGATGTAAACTCGCGAAGCTTTCTTTTGTTATCGACGGGATCGCGAAGTCATGAATTATTAAATCGTCAATGAGTAAAATGTTTCGGAATGTAAACGCGCGTCTCGACCATCGCGAGGGTACATTGAGTTTAATTTCGCCAATTGTTACAAGGCACTCTCAATTTTTCTTCTCGCCGAGTGGCGTAACCTTCGCTCCCGCATGTGTCAGCGCTTTGAAATTGTTTCGGTTTTTGTTCATTAGATAGTTGGCGACACGTTAATGCGTTCATTGGCACAGTGCAGAAGAAACAAGTATCGTTAAATGAAAATAATGAAAATGAAAACGTTCGAAAGCTTTTTTGCGACGACACAAAGTAACGCATATAAGCAGCTTTGGGTATAATATTTTTTTATTAACAGTCTGTTTGTTACAAATAATAAATGTAATTTTTCCGATACCGCGCTTATCGTGTTTTAATTTCGCGGCTTTGGACTGGAACACATTTTTCTAATATCGGAATATTTTGTATCTTTGGTCGTCGTATCTTGTCACGGCGACGTCCGCCGGAAAAATACAACTTCCCCGAATCGTAAACAACCGATTTTCACTCCAAAACTATTTTCTCACGCGCCGCGACTTGCGCCTCGTTTTTCCGCGGAGATTCGCTGGCGTTGCCGAACAAATGAATTCCGCTGCGAGCATCCACCTCAAACATGCGCGTATGTACATACAAGTTTGCAGTTTCTCTATTTGCATTTACAAACAAAAAATCCTTTCCGTCACGCAAATTCATCTGGTGTGAAGTGACAAAAGTGAATTAAAAAGTGAATTAAAGAATACAGTCGTGCAATTAGATACAGAATGAAGCCTCGTTATATGTATTAAAACAGTACTAAAAAATTCACGATTGATCATCGCCTCCGTGATCGTGATTAAAGGTGTCCAGTAAGTTAAAATCCAATCTTTTTAAGACTCTTGTTTGTTTGCTTTAGAATAAACTTCTCTATTAATTTACTTTTACGGAGCGAATCTAGCGAGTTTTCTTATCGGGACGGAGAGTGCTCCGTGTACTACTTTTAATTTGATGTCTTCGACAATCGCTCGACCGGTCGAACTCGATCTTCCTCGTTACGAACAATAATGATTAATGATAGTCCCTAGCGCGATCTTGCGCGCGTGATTCTGCGTCGAGGAAGGAAATGCAATTTACGACGGGGCAATAGACACACGTCGCATACCAAGGGAACGCCTGACTTATGAGAGGGGAACTAATTGTTAATTATGTCTGCCGGTAGATACACACACAGCTGGCAGGGTGGGGGGAGATGGGGATGGAAAAGGAACCCCGACGCATGTGTCCGGGATAGGGTTGGCACACACGCCGACACACACGTGCGCGCCACGCTGCCGCGAGCGAGGGTGGGCGAGAGTGGCTATATGAGGAAAGGGAAGACGGGAAGAGCGCGAAATGGCTGGGAAGGAAAGCTGTAATTCGACAAAGCTTCGTCATTACGGCACGTTTGTTCTTACCCCGGAGGAACTGCTCGTTCTCCTCTCCTGGCGCGAGTGCGGGATGAGGATCGATGCCGCAGGTCGAATAGCGTGAGACAAGAACAATCGACAAGGGGACGGAGGGAAAGCGTCGCTCAACGGAAACGACGCGACGCTGCCGCCATTGCATCGCTCTGACGCGATGCGATCGTTTTCCCCGAGAGCCACTTAACCGAAATTATCTGATCCGAACGGCGGTGAGCGAGATCGCTGTGCGATTGATCCTCGGGACTTGATCGGCGTGAAACACACAGCACAGCACTGATCCGTGGATGCGCCGCGTTTGCGGGATAGTGCTGCGATTCGAGACGCACGAAGCACGGTGAGAATACTTGAGATTAAAGTCGATCTCTTCGTATTTTCGAGCACGTCGGCACGAAATTAATATTAGTCAAAGCGCACAGGGGCGAAAAGCAGTGGTTTACAGACAAATAAATGTAGGATCTAATATTCTACAGTGACAATTTCGAGCAATATTAAGCAAGTCAACATGTTTTACGACTGAAGGTGGTAATTGATTTTTTACACGGTTAAAACTATACTTACTCATTTATTTTCAACTAGTCTTGTAATTAAATTGGAGAAGAAAATTTGGAATGTAAGGATCGATACGAATTTTGGGATAAATATTTTAATGCTTTCAAGTTAGTTATTAAATAAACGCAATTTTAAATTTGTTGCATTATATAATTTTTAATTTCATTATCGGAAAATCATTACGCCGTCTCGTTTATCAGAGTTTTAATTATCACACTCACTCTTACGAAAAAAGATCGTTAAACTATCTTGTGTGGCAAAATGAAAGATGGTACTTTACTGCGCGCTAGTTAACGACGGCCGCAAATAACATCAGCACGTTTCATGCATGCTAAATTAATGGAACGAGGCCATCTTCCCTAAAAATGCCCCACTAAATAACCGCCGTGACCTGACAATGTCAACAGAATATCGTTTTTATTTTCGGAACATTAGAGAATAGTTCTTCTATGTGCTTACAAAAATACGCGCCAACTCCGTCACGAGCGACGATATCGATTGCCAATATTATCAGGATAACACGCGATAAAACCACAACAGCGTTGCTCTACTTTAATAGAATAAATTATTAAAAACACATACCATAATACTAGCAATAAGAATTTGCGATAATGATTTATGATTATACAAATTAGATTTGTTTTATTACAAAATTATTAATTTTTTTTTATAATTTGGACGGCAGCCTTTTAATTCCTGACAAAATTGAATTAACTCAATATGTCTGTGATGCAGATTTGTTTTATGTAATAGTTATCGATTTGATGTGAAGTTTTTGAATCTATGATCATGTATTATGAGTGATGTCTGATAACAGTTGTCAAGCTTATACACCGTAAGTATAACTCATTCGTCATCTTTGATGAATTAGTGCATATCCTCTTAATTAAACGTCCACTCCGTAATACCCGTAATACCGGCCAGCTGCGGAGAACCCTCTCGTTACTCTCGTCCGCTTCTAACTATTCTTTATTTTGACGTCCCCGCGGAAAATTCAGATTACACGAAGTTAGCTCGCCGGCCGACAAAGAGGAGGAGGAAGAAGCCGCTCAGCTGCTCGGGAAAGAAAGGAGGACACGCCACCTCCGCGAGCAACGATTCGCGTGACTTCCGACCGGGCGCGGCGCGGCGGCGGCGGCGGCGGA